TATGAATATGTTATTCAATGTGTTTCTATGGGCTAATAGCAGTAAGGCCAAATTAAATGTTTAATCAAATAATAATAAAACATAATAATTTGATACCTACAGGGGTCCTAAAATTCAAAATCAAAGAGGTAAATGTTCCTTGGTATGACCATCTTAAAACAATTCCATATGTTAGCTTAGTAGAAACCCAGCCCCGGGCCCTTTACTCTATGGATAAGACAAAAATGGTATAATTGTAATCATGTTGATCTCCGTGGTTTGTGGTGAGAGAGAAATGTTCCACCATCGAGGCCCAATCTGTTCTCTCACAGTCAGACACTGCCAGCTTTTTTCCCTGTGTCCACGTTGAAGCTTGGCCGCCTTCTGTGGGGGATATTTTTACAACCATGCAAGGAACAAAGAAGTAACGAGATCTCAATTTTGGCTCCCTTGAAGTGTACGGCTATTGCGTCAATGCCTCAAGAATGCCATATTAAACAGATTAAAATTAAAGGATGTGTGAAATGTGTTGTGAGAAATACATACAAATGGCAGTTTTATAAAGGTGTTAAAACCAAATAATCTTTATTGCTCAATGAAAATCTTCCATTGATACAATCCAGATGAGCAGCTTTGGTGATTGAAATATCCATTTAAGGCTGTGAGTTCAGATCTTATAAATCCTTTCAAAGCCTGTTATACTGTTCATATAAGTCTTGCACCTTTATGTCAGCGTTCATGTTAGTGCAAAATGTATCATCATAGGCACACTTATTGAGTGAGCAAATTTTCAAGTGTGTACCAAAGATAGATTTTTCAAGCAGACCTCATTAGAAGTCATACACTGTTGATTTCATTAGATTTTTTAAGACTTGTTTTCTACCATCTTTGTTGCTGACACCAATGGAATTTCTACAAATACCAAAAACACAAAGGATATTGCACCAAAATAATGACATTTTTGGTTGTTGCGACAAAACTACAGTATGTTTGAGGGCCAGACAAAGCGGGAGTCCTTTTAGTCATGTGTGTGTCTTCCCAAAATAACCCAGCTCAAGTTCTCTGGCCAGACCCGTGCATCAATCAGCAGTAGCCGCACATGAACACTCCAGCAGGCTCGCTCCAAAATAGAACAACAGAGCGAACTGTCAAGATATATGCAACATATGTAGCTTAAGAAACAAGGTTCATGAAATCAATAATTTGCTAGTAACAGATGACATTTATATTCTGACTATCTCTGAAACTCACTTAGATAATACCTTTGATGATACAGTGGTAGCAATACAAGTTTATAACATTTACAGAAAAGATAGAAATACCAAGGTGTTGCTGTTTATATTCAGAACCTCATTCCTGTGAAGATTAGAGAGGATCTCATGTTAAATACTGTTGAAGTAATATGGCTACAGGTTCAACTGTCTCACCTAAAGCCCATTCTGGTGGGAAGCTGCCATAGACCACCAAGTGCTAACAGTCAGTATCTGGATAACATGTGTGAAATGCTTGATAATGTATGTGATATCAATAGAGAGGTATACTTTCTGGGTGATTTAAATGTTTACTGGCTTTCATCAGGCTGCCCACTCAAGAGAAAGCTTCAAACTGTAACCAGTGCCTGCAACCTGGTTCAGGTTATCAGTCAACCTACCAGGGTAATTACAAACAGTAACATCTATTGATCATATCTTTACCAATGCTGCAGAGATTTGCTTGAAAGCAGTATCCAAATCCATTGGATGTAGTGATCACAATATAGTAGCCATTTCTTGGAAAACTAAAGTTCCAAAGGCTGGGCCTAATATTGTGTATAAGAGGTCATACAATAGGTTTTGTAGTGATTCATATGTTGTTGATGTAAAGAATATACAGTATGTTGGTCCGTGGTGTGTAATGAGGATCAAACAGACACTGCACTTTACACATTTATGAAATTGCTTATTCCAGTTACTAATAAGCATGCACCCATTAAGAAAATGACTGTAAAAACTCTTGATGAGGAATTGGAAAATGTTATGGTTGAGAGGGATGAGGCAAAAGGAATGGCAAATAAGTCTGGCTGCACAACCGATTGGCAAACGTATTGCAAATTGAGAAATCATGTGACTAAACTGAATAAAAACAAGAAGAAACTACACTATGAAACAAAGATAACTGACAAAGAATGATAGTAAAAAGCTTTGGAGCACCTTAAATTAAATTTTGGGTAAAAAGGCAAACTCAGCTCCATCATTCATTGAATCAGATGGCTCATTCATCACAAAACCAACTGATATTGCCAACTACTTTAATTATTTTTTCATTGGCAAGATTAGCAAACTTAGTCATTACATTTACATTTTAGTCATTTAGCAGATGCTCTTATCCAGAGCGACTTACAGTTAGTGAGTGCATATATAATTATTTTTCATACCCCCCGTGGGAATCGAACCCACAACACTGGCGTTGCAAACGCCATGCTCTACCAACTGAGCTACATCCCTGCCGGCCAATCCCTCCCCTACCCTGGACGACGCTGGGCCAATTGTGCGCCGCCCCATGGGTCTCCTGGTCGCAGCCGGCTACGACAGAGCCTGGATTCAAACCAGGATCTCTAGTAGCACAGCTAGCACTGCGATGCAGTGCCTTAGACCACTGCGCCAATTGTAACAATTGCTGACACTACACATCCAAGTATATCTGACCAAATTATGAAAGCCAAGCATTGTAATTTAGAATTCCGTAAAGTGAGTGTGGAAGAGGTGAAAAAAGTATTTTTGTCTATCAACAATGACAAGCCACCGGGGTCTGACAACTTGGATGGAAAATTACTGAGGATAAAGTGGACGATATTGCCATTCCTATTTGCCATATTTTCAATTTAAGCCTACTAGAATGTGTGTGCCCCCAGGCTTGGAGGGAAGCAAAAGTCATTCCGCTACCTAAGAATAGTAAAGCACCCTTTACTGGCTCAAATAGCCGACCAATCAGCCTGTTACCACCCCTTAGTAAACTATTGGAACAAATTGTGTTTGACCAGCTACAACGCTATTTTACAGTTAACAAATTGACAACAAACTTTCAGCATGCTTATAGAGATGGACATTCAACATGCACAGCACTTACATAAATTACTGATGATTGGCTGAGAGAAATTGATGATAAAAAGATTGTGGGGGCTGTTTTGTTTGACTTCAGTGAGGCTTTTGACATTATTGATCATAGTCTGCTGCTAGAAAAACGTATGTGTTATGGCTTTACTCCCCCTGCTATATTGTGGATAAAGAGTTACCAGTCTAACAGAACACAGAGGGTGTTCTTTAGTGGAAGCCTCTCCAACATAATCCAGGTAGAATCAGGAATTCCCCAGGGCAGCTGTCTAGTCCCATTACTTTTTTCAATCTTTACTAATGACATGCCACTGGCTTTGAGTAAAGCCAGAGTGTCTATGTATGTGGATGACTCAACACTATACATGTCAGCTATTACAGCGACTGAAATGACTGCAACACTTAACAAAGAGGGTGGCAAGGAATAAGTTAGTCCTAAAAAAAAAAGCATTGTGTTTGGGACAAATCATTCACTAAACCCTAAACCTCAACTAAATCTTGTAATGAATAATGTGGAAATTGAGCAAGTTGAGGTGACTCAACTGCTTAGAGTAACCCTGGATTGTAAACTGTCATAGTCAAAACATATTGATACAACAGTAGCTAAGATGGGGAGAAGTATGTCCATAATAAAGCGCTGCTCTACCTTCTTAACAGCACTATCAACAAGGCAGGTCCTACAGGCCCTAGTTTTGTCGCACCTGGACTACTGTTTCAGTCGTGTGGTCAGGTGCCACAAAAAAGGACTTAGGAAAATTGCAATTGGCTCAGAACAGGGCAGCATGGCTGGCCCTTGGATGTACACAGAGAGCTAATATTAATAATATGCAGGTCAATCTCTCCTGGCTCAAAGTGGAGGAGAGATTGACTTCATCACTACTTGTATTTGTGAGAGGTATTGACATGTTGAATGCACCTAGCTGTCTATTTGAACTACTGGCGCACAGCTCGGACACCCATGCATACCCCACAAGACATGCCACCAGAGGTCTCTTCAGGGTCCCCAAGTCCAGAACAGACTATGGGAGGCGCACAGTACTACATAGAGCCATGACTACATGGAACTCTATTCCACATCAAGTAACTGATGCAAGTAGTAAAATTAGATAAAAAAAAAAAAAGATTAAAAAACACCTTATGGAACAGTGGGGACTGTGAAGCAACACAAACATAGACACAGACACATTCATACACACACACACACACGATAACATACGCACTATACACACACCTACACATGGATTTCGTACTGTAGATATGTGGTAGTGGTGGAGTAGGGACCTGAGGGCACACAGTGTGTTGTGAAATTTGTGAATGTATTGTAATGTTTTTAAAATTGTATGAACTGCCTTAATTTTGCTGGGCCCCAGGAAGAGTAGCTGCTGCATTGGCAGCTAATGGTGATCCATAATAAATACAAATACAAACATGGCATGAAAATAAATTATAGCGTGAACCATTAGTATTGATATCACCATTTTAGCAGATGCTCATTATCCAAGGCAATTAGTAGTTACGTAACACATATCCTCTATCAATGTGGGTCATGCAGGAATATGCCTTCGAAATACAAATACAGCATTTATAAATCTAGCAAAAAAAACAAGAATGATGTTTGTGTGAGTGATTACTTCACATACACAAACCTTGGTTGTAGATCAGACACTCAAACGTAAGGATTGATAGAGGTTTGTTTCATCATGTTTTTTTTTGTGTATATTTGTACGAGGACAGAACCCTTGTAGACTGTCATCACTGCAGAGAGTGACCACCTGTTGCCTGGCTCTCTTGGGGGGAAATTCCATCAGTGTGTTGGGGTCATAGTAGGCATCCATGTGCGTAGCAAAAAATGTAACACGTTCGGCCTGTGACTGCTCTTTACGACAGCTTATTTAAAGCGCAGCAAAAGGCAGCAAAGGATTATTTCAACTCACTCACTCACTCACTCACTCACTGACTTTCCCTACAACATCAACACAAGATATACAAGCACGGTCAAGCAAGAGCCACGATGAGTACCAGCCAGGAGGATAGACCCTTTGTCAGGGCCGTGATGAAGATCAAATGTGCCGCCATGGTCCACAGTCTTGCCAAGAGCTGGCAGGGCTGGGCCAACGAGAACTCGGTCAAACAAGAGACCATACCCTCCGGGTGGATGCCCACCTCCATCACAGAGGACGAAGAAAGGGAGAAGCAGAACGAGACAAAAATCCTAGTCAAGACGCGTGTGGTCGAGGCGGACACCAACAGCGGCAGTCTGATCCGAACGGGTGAGGTGACCAAGAGCCACACGCCAAAGTGCAGTGAGTACAGCAGCGATCTGGTGAGCTCAATCAAGGACAAGATCCAGATGGCACCCGAGGATGCCAACAAGCCCTTCCTGGGCAACGAGTCACCCACCCGGAGACGTCTGGGCATGAGAGCTCAGGTACATCTGGGTAGTCAGGAGCGGAAGATGGGCTCCCGTAGCAGCAGCCTGGACTCAGAGGACAGTGGGCTGAGGGAGGAGGCCGGACTCAGCGACAACAGCGACCAGAGCGACCTGAACCAGCTGAAGAAACAGATCAATAGGCCTAAGGTACCGTACCATACTTTTATTGGACCTTCATTTTGTGAGGCCATTCATAAAAATACTAAATACACAAATCAATGCAATACAGTAGACACATTTCAAAGGTAAACCCTCTTTTGTTTCTCAACAATCTTGCATGGGGAATATCATTTAACATCAGAATATTTTTATTTATTTCATATTGGCAAAGTGAACAAGAAATGTGGTTGGCTGAAGAAAGGTACAACTGTAAAGTTAATTAATGAATTAGTATAGCTTTTTTTGCAACATCACCAGTACCAATTCAACAAAACCACTGACCATTCAAAGACTTATTAGCAATCGTGTAGGTGCACATTAAGATGTGTAAATTTGTAGATCCTGGGTGGACTTGGGTATAAATATATGGAAGGGGAGTTCCCAAAGTAAAAACCATTTTGCCATGTAAGAAAAATAAGGTTTGAGCTGAAATCCCATTGATGAGTTCACAGGGTGATTTCCCCCCAAATCCACCCTCTTAATTCCACAATGTTTGCCCTACCTATTTTCATACTGTTCTATAGCAGCTGCAGCCACACTACCTGGGGATGTTCAGTAGACTCTAAACAGGAGCAAATATTCACTGAGGCTGAGTTCAACTTCAATTATCTGTGCCTTTGTTATTGTGATATTGGGTCATGGAGTTTGTTCATATTGTCTGGCCTTCAAGAAAATACACAGATGTATAGGTATTGTATCTTCAAACTGTAAACTTTTTACCAACTGAACAAGTCCAATAAGCCCTCCATTCACCCTAGCAAAGAGTTGCATAACTTGGAGGAATATATGTCCTTTAAAAGGCATGAAAATGTATTGTAAAACTCCAACACCTATCATGGAATATACAGTAAATAAATAAATATAGTCACACATGCCTTCCCCTGACCTTCAGAGATAATTATGAGGTCCTGATATCCTTGGTCAGGCACAAGATTTATAATGGTGTTCGTCACCTTACTAATTCGGCTCTGGACGTGTAAGGCTTGGGCCTCAGGTTTCACAAGATGCATTCTCCACGGTTTAAATGACTCTGTTGTGGAAGATTCGCCTGCCACGGAACTTTTTGGAAATGCCAAAGCAAGGATCCCTTACACTGTGTTATATTTTAACGTTATGGCAAATGTAGATTTCCACCTAAATAGACATACCAAAAAGTAATAATTTTTCATGAGATGGTCATAAACAATAACTAGTAATGCTGGATAGCTATAGAAAGGGCTGGAAAAAATATTATACATTGATGAGGTGTACTCAGTTTTGAGGGCACAAGCTCAAGTACATTGTACAAATATTATGAAAATATAAAAAAAATATGTATGTGGGGGAATAGGGCTTGAAATTACTGAAATGCTTTCTAAATATAGTAACAATCACGTTATAAACAACTATTTATATGATTTTACCTTTCTTATAACTGTTAAATAAATATGATCATATTTAGTGACAGCACAATTTGGCCCCATTTCGTATAACTGATGACAGAGAATTTTCTTCCAAGCGTCCTCTGAGCGACGCAGACACACCGTTAAAATGTCTGCAGACTTATAACTTAATAAGTGATTTCATCCCTCTGTGACCAAGTGAAAGTGGTTGTGTTTCAATTCTATGAAACTATTTTATATTTTTTCATGTTGACAGCTCTAAAACTGTCTGAGAATATCACAGGGAGATGAAACCATTTTATTTATTTATTTATTTAGCAGACACTCTTATCCAGAGCGAATTACAGGAGCAATTAGGGTTAAGTGCCTTGCTTAAGGGCACATCGACAGATTTTTCACCTACATTTACATTTTAGTCATTTAGCAGACGCTCTTATCCAGAGCGACTTACAGGAGCAATTAGGGTTAAGTGCCTTGCTTAAGGGCACATCGACAGATTTTTCACCTAGTCGGCTCGGGGATTAGAACCAGCGACCTTTCGGTTACTGGCACAACGCTCTTACCCACTAAGCTACCTGCCGCCCATGATTGCTGAATTCGCTCTACTTTTCCCTTTAACATGCTGTCTCGCAGGCTGGGCTACGTTGCTCAGAGGCAGATGCAATCTTTGTTTGAATAGGCCAGAAAATGTGATACGTCACTCCCTATGCTGATGTCAGGTGTGAAACCTGACACTTCAAGTCAGCTCAGCTGACACAGTGGTAGCAGAAAGCAGACAGATGGGGCTTTCTGGCACTGTAAGGCAATGGACCCTGCGACATTCACAGAGCGCTTTGTACACCAAAATGTCAGTCGGAACCGGTTCAGAACCATTCAAAGTCCCCTAAATAGGGGACTTAACATCTAAGAGAGAAGTGGGGCTACTAATCAACATAAATATGAGCCAGTTTCCTGGACAGAAAAGTACTGGACATTCTCCATTGAGCATTAAATGGATATTCTCCATTGAGCGTTTTTTGGTCAAGGATTATACGTAGCCCTTTCCTGCAGTCAATGACCAAAAGCTCCCGCTTTGGCCTCATGGGTGGAATGTTATTCATATTTTTGAATGTTTTTACTGACGAGAATCCGGTGTTTCTATGTCAAACAGTTTTGTTATATTTCAGTCTTCTGTGATATATATAAAGTGTAATAGTGGGATGCAAACTCAAAATTGAATACATTTCAACTCTATATCTGACATAGGTGGTACAGGTGTCTTGTCTTTTTATTTTTCTGTCCATAACCATGTGTGTGAGGTGTATGCTTTTGTTTCAAAGTAGCAACAAGAATCACTCTGTGTGACCCTAATTTAGCCCACTGCAGTAAAAGGTTATTAAAATGGGTCCTGTGTCATTAATAAATGGGAAAACTCGTAGTGTTCGTTGTGAATTTAGTAGTGTAATTTTAGTTGATGTGACAATCCAATGAAGAGATTGCCACTGCAAATAAACCCACTTTATAATCTGATCTAGTCTAATCTGACGTGCCTTCCTATTCTGCAGATTAGAGTCACCACCATGGGTGACATCAAGAGCAGGTGGCAGCAGTGGTCCCAGCAGCACATAGAGGGTCAGAAGCTCAACCCCTTTAGTGAGGAGTTTGACTACGAGCATGCCATGGCCCAGCGGCTGCAGAAGGGTGATGAAGGTTACGGACACCCCAAAGAGGGATCCAAGACGGCCATGCGTGGCGACCGAGCCCAGAAACATGTCTACAAAGAGATGGAGGAGTTGTGCTGGATCGTCAAGGACATGGGCCTCAAGGACAAGAACGGCAAATCCTACATCACCTTCGGCAGGCTGTTTGACCGCTATGTCAAAATCTCGGACAAAGTGGTGGGCATAGTTTTGCGCTGCCGCAAACACAAAATGCTAGACTTTGAGGGAGAGATGCTGTGGAAAGGCCAGGATGACCATGTCATCATTACTCTGAGAGATGAGAAAGAAGACTGAACCTGCAGATGACCTAGACTTTGACCTATACATCTCTCACAGTTTACCTAGACCCACAAGTGCCTTTCATATTCTGACCAGCAACAGGTCAGGAGTAGATGTCTTTATCATTCTAACCATGATAGCCACTGGTCATGAGTTCAACCTCCTCAGTAGGATATTCTAAACATGCTGCAGGCCGTTGCAAAAAATGTGGTTTGTGGACACATGTATGAACACAATAGCGATGCGTGGGTTGACTCATAACCTGCAGTCCCCGCAGTTATAAAAAGAGAAAACAATACATACAAAAATCCATAAATGTATAATTCTTGTGCAATTCATATCTATAGGCTACATAGAGTTTTTTCTTTCATTATTTTTAAGCTATTTGGCATTAGTGCGTAAGCCTAAGCTTTAGGACCTAACTGTACGAGGCAATCGCCAAATGCTTTTGGGAACGGGCAGAAAGAGGTAACGTTGATCCACTGATTCAATAAAAGAAAAGTTGCAAAATGGAGAGTTGAAAATAAAGAAGTGGTAAAAAAATTGGTGAAGTGGTAAAAGAGGATGATAGCAGTTGTTATGTTATGTGTGATGATTGTGAGGCACTATACAAATTTGACAGTCACAAGACAGGGACTTCAAATAGGCCTATGGCACATGAAGGGAACTGTAGCCTACTGTTCAGATGGGTTAAATGGAGACTGAAATCTGGACACTGACTGTAGGTCTATAACTTCTCCTAGCGGTTAGGATTATTGGGCCGGTAACCGAAAGGTCGCTGATTCAAATCCCAGAGTAGACTAGGTGAGAAATCTGCCCATGTGCATTTGAGCAAGGCACTTAACCCTAATTGCTCCAGGGTCGCCGTCAATAATGGCTGTACAATTATACACCAAATGTACATTTTGATTCTGGAAAATTATTTATTTCACCATCTTGAAAGAATGTGAGTGTGCAGTTAGGGACCTTCTGTAGAGGTGCTATCTTTATCAGCGTCATAAAAGCTGATAATATTTCGACCACATAAAATATGCATCCAAGCCGAACTGAAATCTTATCAGAAACCTGTTGGGTCATTTTCACAGCTTTCTATTTCCTTACGAGCATGCCATGGCCCAGAAAATCTTTCAATTTTTGGGGTGGAGTTATTGCATTTTATAGATTGAAGCCCCTTCATTCTATCGATTTATGACATTATTCTGTTCAGCAAGGGTTTATTTAGTCGTCTAAGGCAACATATAATGACAGAAGAGAAGCTGCATGTATCTAGTTATAGACAAGTTCACTAACAAATAGCCTACCAAAAGGTTGTGCACCCCCTGTCAAAAAATCGTTCTGCCGTCTCTGACTGTAGCCTACAGCGCATTTCCTATATTTGCGGGTTAGGGTCGGGTGCGGTCAGATTTTCACTTTATCACATATAGTCGGGTGGTTGCGGAGGTTTATTAGCAATTGCGGGCGGGTGCAGGTGAACAAACAGCTGACCCGCACACCACTAGAACACACGTTTGAACAAATCATGTGAAAAATGTCACGTGGATAGTTTGTTTAAATGAGTCAGACATGGTTTTCGGAGGTTTCGCATGGATTTTCCCATGTAAATATTTTTGTAAGGGGGGCTACTGGGCACAACTAATCTTTTGCAGAATGCTAACTATGCTAGCCATTGGCAAATGGGTACAGCTCTTCATCATGCAAACAATGATAGCAATTGAACATGAGTAGAAAATCAAGGGAAAATCAAGTCTGAAATTTCAAAGTGTAAATTACAAACTTCAGAAGCCTTTTTAAACCTCAAATATACTACAAGTTAAAAATGTTCAGCATTGCATGAAAGTGCTCCTGCAACATGGTGATCAAATTAAGGTCCTACATCTGTATTGGACATTTGTGGCGTTCCACAAGCTGACAGTGGTGGTTGCAGTTCCTGAGTTTCAATGACCATTTGTGCTAGAAGCTGGTTTTGAATAGAGCCTGCTGTTGCCTGCTGACGATGCGCTATTAGATATGGGAGGCAATCTTGAGTATGCTGAACATGCTATGCTAAACATTTGCAACATTATAAGATCATGTTACTGGAACGTACAATTCTAGCTCTTAAGCTATCAGCAATCAGTGTAGTTTTTTAATTCCATGATTGAAATATGATATACATGAAACAGCTCAAATATTTATATTAACAGGGATAGTTGCTTAATGTGAACATTTCTTTCAAAATGAAAGCATGTAAGTCTTCTTACAGAAGGACAATTTGTACATTTCCAGATTTGTATACAGTGACATAAGTTATTTATTTGTTTATTCTTGACTGTATTATATTTCCCACCAAACAGCTGTAGTTCCAAGGAAAATGTTGTTGTGTTACTGGAAATATATTTTTTGGGGGGAAAATGTTGGTTTTCCTCTCTTTGATAATCTTTGACTTGTGGGTGACAGGTTACCATTCGTCTTTGGTTGTGAGCCAAAAGCCCCTTATCTATGAATCGTGTGTGTGTGCGTGGGTGGGTTGGTTTATGTCTACATGTACATATATGAGGTGTGTATGGTCGGGTGTATGCATGAGTGTGACCTTACTGTACTACACACTAATCATTTCAGAGGAAGTTGAAGTGGATCATGACAGAGAGGGAGAGCCTGGATGGCTGCCAGACACAAGGCTGCCAGACACAAGCAGAAGTCTGTCTGTAACGTTGACATTCACTAGAAAAAGTACCAGAGTGCAAATTATACCGTGACATTCAGAGGTCTATTCAAACAATTAAAACAAATCAATTCAAAAGTAAGCTACCTGTGCATGTTCGTCCACTCCAAAATAATTCCAGCATCCAAACAGTGCACTGTGCATTCGCGGCATTTGATGAATGCAACAGCTCAAAAAGTGTAATGACATTCAGCGATTGTCTTTGGGTTTACACTCTTGTAGCCTGAAATAATGTATGCGTCTTGCTGACAAAAGGATATTTTCTGTCGAAATAAAAGTTGGGACACCTGAAAAGGGGCTGAGATACAGGACTGTCCCGGGATGAGTGCAGCCACATGGAATTCATTTTTTAAACCATGACACAGAGGTGGGGGTGTTCGTTTAATTTGGAATAAGCTTTTATTTTAATATTTACCACTGTAACAGTAAAAATTGCATTTTAAACAAATAGTAGAATGGTTAAATTTGCATTATTTAGAGACCCCCCCCCCCCATTTAGGGGGCTCATGTCTCATTCAGGGTGTCTGAGACTCGCCTGGGCCCCCCATTACTTGCACTCTGCAAAGGACAACCAACAACCAGGCTGTGCTCTGTCTATGACCTATACAGTCTACATATGCTGTAGGGAACTTTATTCCTGGGCCAAGACTCTGAAAATGCAGAAAATATTACTTTAGGCTAGGTTGCATTATTGACATAATCTGTTAATAAATAATTACCATTGATGTATAGGTATAGATTTTATTGCTTACCATAATCTGTTGATTTCATGTTGTCTGTCAATGATACACACAGCAATGTTCACAACATGTCGTTGCAAATAGGAGTAAACTATTTTATTGACATTTGGAATAGAACAACAATACACCAAATTGTGCATTACTCAACAATTAGTTTGCAAGAATTTCAAATATGCATGTTATAAATGATTGTGAATAAACCAAGGATCCACACGCTAAACAAGTCACAGCATCAGAAAGGATGTGTCCCCTATTCCATCCCACACCTCTGCACAAGATAATGATATGCTCTGGGTCTAGTTGAAACACACCCATGTATTTTACGAACATAAAACAGTGTTTTCCTCTTGTAAATACCCAAACCAAGACGCCAACATGGGGCAAATTAAACTGGGAAAAAATAAGCATTGGACAAAATTGAATTCAAAATAAGTTGAGACATGGGGAAAAAAACCAGTTAACATTTTAACACTTTTTTTGCTTCTTTGAATTACATGTTAGAATTGTTAAGTCATCTGGTATGATTCTTTGTGTTTTTAAGGCCTCTACTTGCATTACAATTGATAGCAATGAATTTAGATGTACATGACATATACGAGTAAAACAAAAGTGATAGGGATTCTGATGATAGCATATTTTGGGGGTTTTTACATTTTCCACCATTTAACCTTTTAATTATAACAAACTCAAAGTCACACACCACTGCATCAGACCCATTAATTAAACTGTTGGATAGGCGAGATTATACTAGTATCGCTGAGATATATGAAACAACCATAAGTTACAATTTGAAATCGGGTCGCACTTATAAGTAGTTAAATGGTTCATATTTTGAACATTCTTCAAACGCTTCCTACAATACCAACGTGTTTCATTCAATCATAAGATTTTTTTCAAAATTATATCACAATTGGTCAATTTTACAATAAACCATGTTCCATTCCATTTGGAAATACAAAATGGTACACCGTGAATGTGTAGGTGTAGGTGAATGACAACCATGCAATGTCAATATTATTTTATTTTCTTAATTTTTCATATAGCTACTTTAAATTAATGTTATAGGGAACAGAAGCCTGGAAAGTATTGTATTTAATTGATAAAGGTTATTCCTCAAACCAAAACCTTCCATCAGTTTTGGAATAGAAAATTATTCAAGTTTTAAAATTATTTAATGCCATGTGTATCTTTCAGTTGACATGGTACTAAATAATATCAGTTATTTTTGAATACATAGATTTTTCCCCAAATATTTGTTTTACATATAAAAAGAAAAGATTTTGGCACCAAGAAATAAAAAACATAAAAACATTACATTTAAGATACGTAAGTTGATTTGATCTATACATTTGATCTAAATATTTTTTTTTTCATGTGTGAAATTTACAAAATACAATCGTACAGTACAATGCACTTTTTACAACTGTTTTAAATCCTTAAAAACAAATGTTTCCAATAATCTTTAATATGGCATCTTTCTTTTCATGTCTATTCTATATAATATGTTCAGGCTAGTAAAAGTTCAATCAAAATGTTTGATTGTAAACTTGGTACAATGTGGTAAATGTGTTTTCTGGTCAGACTGTGAGTGGAACTGATACTCATACAGTAACTCTGTTTAATCTTGTCCTCTTGTCCTATTGTGCCACCCTAATGATTTAGTGTTTGTCAGTTCAAACACATGCATACACTTATACACTCACACACATATGTGTGTGTGTGTGTGTGTGTGTGTATGTGTATAAGTGTATGCATGTGTTTGAATTGACAAATGCATGCATGCATACAGTGGGGAAAAAAAGTATTTAGTCAGCCACCAATTGTGCAAGTTCTCCCACTTAAAAAGATGAGAGAGGCCTGTAATTTTCATCATAGGTACATGTCAACTATGACAGACAAAATGAGGGGAAAAAATCCAGAAAATCACATTGTAGGATTTTTTATGAATTTATTTGCAAATTATGGTGGAAAATAAGTATTTGGTCAATAACAAAAGTTTCTCAATACTTTGTTATATACCCTTTGTTGGCAATGACAGAGGTCAAACGTTTTCTGTAAGTCTTCACAAGGTTTTCACACACTGTTGCTGGTATTTTGGCCCATTCCTCCA